AAGTTTAAAAGTTTCGTCACGAAACTGCTCGGGCGGCCGCAAAGCATCTTGGGGCGGGCGCATGCGCAGTTCGGATTTTCGGCCGGGAGACGAGCAGAGACGCAAGGTAAGTCTATGGACGCGTGCACCCGCATGCAGACACCGCGGGATCGGAAGTGCCTGCAAGCAGAGAGGAGTCAGCGCTGGATCGGAGAGCCGCTGCACCGCTGGAGGCACAGATGAAAACATTAGGAAAGAAGAAGAAGATCGGATTAAGAGACATCATTTAAGGTAAGTGCTGACATTAACATTGGGGGGAGGGAATTTTTTTTAACTTTAATGTCACTTTAAATAAATTGGCCTGGGGTGACAGATCTTCTGGGGGTGGGTCCATGACACCCTACACCCTTTTAAGATGCCCTCTGTCTTTCGGTTGAATGATGCTAGGTGACATTCAGCCTGGAAGACTGAGGACATCTATTGGCAGAAAGAAATGACTGTAGGCAGCAGTGCAACAGAAGCAATAATTAATGCAGCCAGGACTTTGTTATTTTTAAACATTCGTGGAGACTTTTAAGAAGAAAAAAAACAAATCTGGCTAGGACTTGGGCTTTTAAACCTTATAACCATGTACATGTTAGCAATACCAAAGGGTCTCATTTACTGTTATCTTTTCCACTGTAAGATATGGGATCATCGTCTAGACAGCAACGATCTATATATAAATTTGGAAGAACAGCCACTGGGAAGATGTATGCCATTGACTCCCGAGTGTGACTTCTGAAACCTCCAAATGCCATCACATGAAACTTTAGATATAAACAAGCCAGAAAGTGTAAATAGAAAATGTATTGCCTTTATAGATGTCTTTTACCTAGACTTGTCATGGAGATCACTATTAGAGCATTCCAGATATGAAAATGTTAAAAATTGTTGGGCACGTGTGAAGCAAACCTCTTATCAACTCAAAATCAATGCAAAGGACAGCCCTAAGCCACGCTCATGAGGGGTTCAAACTCTGCTCCGTTTGACTAGCCACACCATTGTTCTAGCAAGACTACACCCATTTCCTAGTGAGCCCGCAGGATTGGCCGGGAGGACTGCTGATGTGTGCACCTCATTATCTTTTAACAAACGTAGTGTTGTTAAACCAATAAATAATTTTTGTGTACAAGATTGTTATTGTGCTTTTCCTATAATTTACTTACAAAACTCTCAAACAAATAATGTCTTTGTATTTCTAACACAATGCAGGAATATAGTAGTATACGAACAGACACTTATATACACTTTTATTCACTGTTATCCTGGATTTTCTGTGAATTTCAATAAAATCTGAAGTATTGGAATTCTCTGGATAGTGCGGTCCGTTCGTATACTACTACATTCCAAGGTGGAGACGCACCTATTAGACCAGCACCTGGGGAGTCCTGATGGCGGCTAAGGAATTGGAGCGGTGAAATTTCCTTTGGCTCTACACAATGCAGGAATATATTTGTTTAGTACTGTTTTTATTCTATAAAGATCAATCAAATGCAACCTCTATTCAATTTAGAGTTGTTAGTACAATTTAAAAAATATGCTCATTGGCTAGTTTGACATCACCGAAATAAGGGGAGTAGCATGATAGGAAGGTACAGCCAGGGAGCTATAAAACATTGTCTGATGTTACATTAAAATGGTGGCACTCACATATACATAAAATGCATATATATATATATATATATACAAAGCGCCAACAATCATCATACGTTCAAAGGCTGTTAAATCACATTGTTTACCCATATCTTCAGATATAATCACTTCTACTGTCGTGGTAAACAACCTGCTTCCCTATTTATAATGGTCTGGCCCTCTAGCAACTTCACATTCCAGAATCACATTCCAGTGTAGACCCATTAATTAAAAGAAACTGAGTGATTCTTTAATATAAGACAGTCAGCACTTAATTATTATTGTATGTAGTTAATTACTGATGTTCACAGTCATTGTGGACTGCTAATTCACTCTCATGGTGAAAGAAACAGCCCCGGATTGGTAATTTCTTAGATCAAATAATTGCATTACCTAATCCTGCTTTTTACAAACATGCACAGTGCAGGCAGTACAAGGAACCTGGGCTCGAATCCCACCAAATAAAGGATCTGCTTGGAGTTTGTTCTTCCTGTGCTGGGATAGCTTTGCTTAATTCTCCTCCCATAGTCACAGAATCTACTGGCACTGGTTTCAGTAGCAATGGTAGTTTGATATAAACATACACTGTTCATAAGGGGGGTCCTGGTCTCCAGTCCCACCAAGGACAAAGTCTCCACAGAGTTTCTTCCTGTATTTGTTTAGGTTTATTCAAGTCTCCTCCCAACGTTACAAAACATACTGGTACTGGTTTCAGTGGTACTGGTTTTAATGGTCTGTAAGGGCAGTAACCCTAAGGATAATCTTTCCATTTATGGCAAAGGGAGCCAGTCAAAGAAGGCTGAAATGGCATTAACAGGCCTTGTATTTGGCAGAGGGGGGCTTGTTGATTTGAGGTCTGTGTTGGGACATATGCACTAGATAGGTTATCTTTTAAAATGAAACCATCACAGACGTGGGCAATTCAAACTGAGTATTAGATGAAAAAATGCATACTCAGAAGTCACTCATTAGTGAAAAAGCCCAGTCCTGTCCAGCTTGGCTTGCCCCCTTCCAACCACTAAAGTCTTCCTATTGGTCAAAGAGGGCCCTCACCACAATATTTAACTAATGGATAGGCTCAGGAAAAGAAACGACCACAGCGAAACTCGACTTTTACAGGAAAAATTGATATTGGCATTTAAAGTGTCATTACAGGCAGGCCTGGATTCCCCACAAGGCCACCGAGGGGTGGCAGCGGTGTGGAATCCCCCGACGCCCGGAACATAAAGTTCCGGGTGCCAAGTTGCCTTCTACATTTAGTCCTGCTTTGAGAAGGCAGGACTAAATGTAGTGTAGGGAAGCCGCTGGTTCGTTTACATGTGATCGCGGAGATGTCACCGCGAACTAACCCCGCCGCCATTCTCCATTGATAGGGAGGGGGTTGTATTGCGGAACCTGGCCTTGGGGCGGGAGGGAGAGTAAATCCGGCACTGATTACAGGATCACACAAGAACAAGAATTACATGTATAAGAAGAGACTCTATACTTGCCCGTGTCTTAAAATGCTGCCACAATGCTGTAGCTGCTACAAGTATTTGACCCTTTGGATGAGTTTAATACTGTGGTTTCACCCATCAGCTTGTACGTCCTGTGTTGAGAGCTTGATTCAGAGTTTTTTTTACTACTCCTTAAAAATATTTTAATATTTAAATGTCCATAGCCTAGTCACCGGTTTACTTACTAGCATGGTAAGTTCTTACTAGCATAGCTGCCAGGTATAGATGGACATCGGGAAGAACATTAGAACATCAGGCCAGATATAGATGGACATCAGGAAGAACATTAGAATATCAGGCCAGGTATAGATGGACATCAGGAAAAACATTAGGCCAGATATAGATGGACATCAGGAAGAACATTAGAACATCAGGCCAGGTATAGATGGACATCAGGAAAAACATTAGGCCAGGTATAGATGGACATCAGGAAGAACATTAGAATATCGGGCCAGGTATAGATGGACATCAGGAAGAACATTAGGCCAGGTATGGATGAACATCAGGAAGAACATTAGGCCAGGTATAGATGAACATCAGGAAGAACATTAGAATATCAGGCCAGGTATAGTTGGACATCAGGAAGAACATTAGAACATCAGGCCAGGTATATAGATGGACATCAGGAAGAACATTAGCCCAGGTATAAATGGACATCAGGAAGAATGGATGGTGGATGTAATGCTCTGGCTCCAGCCGATTCTCCCTCTTGTCCCTGTCTGTATCTCGGTACGGACAATTGACTAACATGAACTGTCTGGAATGAATGTGTCTGGGATTGGATGACATGGCTGTGTGGGTGGAGCCTATGAGTGGAAGAACCCCACAATTCAGGTAAGTTGGGGTCGGGGGGTTTTGATGTGACCATGTTTCATGTTGCACCCTCGATATGGTAAACTTAGGCTTTAATGTGTTATGGTGTTATGAGTTCCTGGAGTACTGCTTTAATGTTGATGAAGCTCTATAGCAGGGATGTCACACTTAATTTCATCGCGGGCTGCATTAAAATTATGGTTGCCTTCAAAGGGCCGGTTGTATCTGTAAGACTATATAAATGTTTCTACTCTTTATCATATTAAATAATTGCCTCTGATTATTACTGGTTTTAGTAATAACTTAATAACTAGCTCTGAAAGTAGAAGTCTAGGAAAAATAATGGCAATTCGTGTAATAGTGCAGACTCTCAGGTGGCTGTGCAGGTTCTATGGTAGGCTGTGCGGACTCCCAGGTGGGCTACGTGGGGGTCTATGGTAGGCTGTGCAGACTCCCAGGTAGGCTGTGCTGGTTCTATGGTGGCCTGTGCGGACTCTCAGGTGACTGTGCAGGTTCTATGGTGGGCTGTGCGGACTCTCAGGTGGCTGTTCAGGTTCTATGGTGGGCTGTGCGGACTCACAGGTGGGCTGTGCAGGTTCTATGGTGGGCTGTGCGAACTCTCAGGTGGCTGTTCAGGTTCTATGGTGGGCTGTGCGGACTCTCAGGTGGCTGTTCAGGTTCTATGGTGGGCTGTGCGGACTCTCAGGTGGCTGTTCGGGTTCTATGGTGGGCTGTGCGGACTCTCAGGTGGCTGTGCTGACTCTCAGGTGGCTGTGCAGTCTCTCAGGTGGTTGTGAGGGGTCTTAGGAGGGCTATGTGGTCTCTAGGGGTGGTGAGTATAGGGCATGGAGGGTACTTACTGTACAGAGGGGGCATGTGGGTTTTATTTTGGTGCAGGTGTGTACCTTGTAAGTATCACTGTATAGATTTGCATCTTCTATGTGATCACACCATGATCTGTTTCCTTTTCCAGCTGCTCATGTATACCATGACATAGGATAACACGCTGGATCACATCCTAGGCGGAGAGGTAAGTAGTCACAGATAGGTCATTGCATTGTTGTGGGCTCTCTGACGAATAGCACTGGCAGATTTTGTCTCAGCAGTGATGTCCCTTCTACAGTTCATAGAGAGGAGCAGGAAAGCCGCAACGCATGCACATCCAGTGGAGCCAGTAGCAAACCAGTAAGAATATCCGAGTTCATATGTGATCCCAGGGACGGTCAGGACCACCTGAAAGCCAAAATATCTAATTAAAAGGTAAGTCCACTTTCTCAAGTGAATTTGGGAAAATGGAATTGCCCCCCTTCTCAATATGGCCCCCTCTCCCCCCCTCTCCCACTCCTTCCCCTCCGCCGGTGCGGGGGTACTATATGTACCCTGTACTGCTGTGTAGCGCAGCCCTGTGCTATGGATTTTGAATTTCACTTGCAACCCATGTTCCAATGACAGTTGTCTAAGTGGGGATTTTCTATCACTGTGTAGAAATTTCCTCTCACTTCCTGTTATATTTACAGGACAGAAAGTGAATGGAAATCTTCCCAATGTGACACAGACAGCAAAAAAAGACCCCAAAACAAATAGACTGACGGGGGTATTAATGCTCCCTTACTCCTGTGGGACACATTTTCCGGGGGAGGGGGCACCTTTCTGGTGACAAATGTCTGATAGGGGATTTAAAAGAGATTTCTGAAGTTTGGCTACCCCTGCTGCAAATCAGGTACCTGGCATTTTCAGAAGGATCTCAGCATTCGCAGCCTCCATATTTTTCTCATGACAGGTTTTATGATTCAAGTAAGTACACGTACAGACCTGTCACAATAATTCTCTAAACTCTATATCCATATAAGGTAGTGTGGCCGAGCGGTCTAAGGCGCTGGATTTAGGCTCCAGTCTCTCTGGAGGCGTGGGTTCGAATCCCACCACTGCCAGGATTTTACATCTCAAATCCAGCTGTTACTTTATATTTCTGTTAGATTCTTAATTTTGCCTGTGACCCCAGTGGGGAGATTTTTCTCTTACTTCCTGCCCCGTGCACCTGATTTATCTTTAATATCTCGGAAGTCACAGACAGCATTAAAAACATTGTCACAACTGTCCTTCCCCACTCAACTAAAATGTGTTCTTGTTTGTATCCTCATTGGAGAGATTCGACTCACTTCCTGTCCTGACAAGTTCCAGAAGAAGAGAGGGAGCTTGGGATGAATGAAATCTACTTACCTCCATCCTGTACTTTAGTACTGTGTCAACAGCATACCAGAACAATGCGACACCTCCACAGACGCCTGTAAAGAGATAGCAGCAAGTTACAGGATGGCTTTTCACCATTTCCCAACCAGCTCACATATATATGGAATGGAATGAAGGTGGGTGGTGACACCCGGCCGCCACATATAAGTGGCCACTGTTTTGATGCCTGCGTTATCACGGGGAGCCGCTGATGGGCTCCTGATCATGTGATCGCTGTGATTGGGTGTCAGAGTGATCACATGATTGGGAACATGTCCCTTTCTACCCTCATTAAGGTAGTTTTAAAGGGCTCGCGGCAATGGGTTAAAATGTGATGAATTATTTTTGAATTTGACAGTCATGTTATGTGTCAAGGTGCAGCCAATCAGGTAGTTGAATTATCGGTGATATTTTGTTTCCATTAATTAAAGTGTATTAAAACCCAACTCTGAGCACAAAAATACCCTTGCAATGCCCCCGCCCCCAAACCCCGATACAGCGAATGTTGCTGGTATCAAGACTGTTATTTATTTTCAAAATTATTTTGCTTTGAAACAAAGAATATTGTTACAAATTGAATTTTTTAGTCTTGACCATAATAAATAAAGAAAAAAAAGAACAAAGCCTCGATTCATTCACTTTAACACTTCAATGAGGTTCTTCCCTATAGACGAGCCTTGCCACAAAAGCCCTCTGTATTCATTACCTCATCATTCATACCTCCTAGAAGCAGCATTAGGCCAGCAGCTCGTGAAAGTTTCCTCTTGAGATCACCTTCTCCGCTGATGAATTTGATACATTTCATTCCAAGAACCAGAGGTGGTGTTGCAGCAAAGGTGAGAATGGCATTCACGATGACCAAGGCCCGGGTGGCCACCAGGGGCACTATCACAGAAGAGGTAAATAAAGCACAGCGTTGGCAACTGGGCTTTCAGTCAAAAGAGTCCATGCGTCATTATCGGTTTTGTACCCACCTGGATGCTCACTGAGATACGAGATTGGGATGTCGCAGGTCCAGATGTTGGCCATGTGGTCATACACGCATTCGCTCCATAGGCCCCGGCATCTAGAACTCAAGCCCACGGAGGAGTAAGGATCCTTGGCATCTTGCTAGATCACAAATTGCATGATGTCTTAGTAATGGAATGAGAGGTTAGAGATAAAGATACATATCTGTATATGATGTTTACTTAATATTATAAATAAAGGATGAGACTATTTTTAATTAAAAGCTTGTTAGCCCACCCTACCTAGTCCCTAGCCATAGTCCTCTAGAACCTTGGTTCTCAACTGGTGGGTCCTGACCCAAAGGTGGGTCGCGACCCCGTGTTCAGTGGGTCGCCGCATGCCTTCCACTTTTCTAGGTGAGAGGCTCCTCAGCCCCCTCCCTAGCGCAGCACTGTCCATTCTTACACCAAGCAGCCATTTAAAATATGCTGCCTGGCGCTGAGTGTTGACTTGGGTGGGGTGGGCTGGGGGGTATGGCTGCGAATGAGCACCATCCATACGTGCATTGCTTGAAGCTCCCTCGCGTGTCCTGTAGAGGTGCCTGGACTGGGAGTGACATCACATTCTGGCTCCTGGCGCCTCTACAAGGTGCACATGTGAACTGCGCAGGCAATGCATATATGGATGGAGCTCCGTCACAGCACAGCCGCTCACACTGCAGTGCGACTTGGGTCTTGACTTCCTGACCTGAGGACAAATGTGGGTCCTGAGGTTACACAGGTTGAGAACCACTGCTCTAGAACATCCACCCCTTCCTAGGCACTTACAGGGGGAAGGGTTAGAAATTCTATCTAGTTATGATTCCTGTCCGGGTTAGAGTCCCTCATTCTCCCTTCATTTTTGGTATAGTTTTAAGCAAGGCACAGCTTCCATAGAGATAAGAGATAGAGATGGTAACAAATGTGAAGACATGTAAAAAGCATCTAATATGTAGCTGACACAAAGAGATGAACATACAGTCTAACCCTTAAAGTGCTTCTGTCATTAAATCAATATGTAGGCTGCCATTGCTCAGGGATCTCAAGTCTCCCTGATGTTCAGGGAGTCTCCCTCTTTTGGACAGCAGCTCCCTGATGTCCGCGAGAGAGGCATTTTCTCCCTGAAAGGTTTACTCTGAGTAAACCTTTCTGGTAATATATCAGTGGGTTAAGTTAATTGCTGGACTTGTAAAAAGCTAGTTGCCTGACCGTGTCTGCCCTCCTTTTTTTTGTGTCACAGACATGAAGAAAGTATGAAGCAAATGGAAGTCAGAATTATTGATCTATATACTTATTCAGATTTAGTGACATAGAAAAAATTAAAGTTAAGGTGTCACTATATTCTCAGGAGAGGTGAGCAATGGCAGCCTCCATATCTCTCCCATAACGGGTTATTTTTTACCTCATTCTAAACTCCACCTTGTAGAATGCACTGGGAGACCTCCATAATGCACCTACGGCCCTCAGCAACTGCAGCCTGCTGGGTTTCACTACTGGCTCATCACACCAATAGGGATCCCCCATTCACTCCTTATGGTGAAATATGGCCAAATGTACATTTTTACAGCAACATGGTGTCTTGCACTGATCACTGCGGAGTCTACACACAAAGCCAGATGCGTCCCTAAATACAATGAGGGGATTTTATCAAAACTGGAGAAGGACAAATCTGGAACAGTTGCCCATGGCAACCAATCAGCTTCTCTCTTCAGTTTGTTCAGTTAGGATTTGAAAATGAAAGAGAGAAGCTGATTGGTCACCATGCACAACTGCCACAGATTTTGTCTGCTTCAGTTTTGATAAATTTCCTTCAATGTGCTTGCCTCATTATTACAGCGCTATCACACATGCACCCCAGCATCGCACTCTACTACCATCTAAGTCTCCAATCATACTTGGCACGCATGTGAACCAGTGCAGCAGTTTTGCATGGCTTGCTGTGTTTCTTTATTTATTTCAATGGGTTGCCCCGCACATGACAATTGTGACAAAGAAGCTCATGCAGCTGTTTGAGCTGCAAGCATTGTGCATGTTTAATTACGCTTTTTTGCATGCAAGAACACACCTCTTACTTGATGACACATGCTTACAATAATCCGGCCACACTCCATTTCACGCTGAATCGCCAATGACAGTTAATGACATTGAGTCCTGCCTGACATGTTTCACCCAATCGTGGGCTTAGTCATGACACATGCTTGTCAGACATTTCATGAGGTCACGCAAAGTCGCAAGACTTTGTGGATGTCCACGTTAGGGCTGCCACCTGTCCCAGATTCACCTGGCCAGTCCGGGTTTTGAGTCCTGTATGAGCTGTTTCCGGGTTTCAGGCAAAGCTGAAGCCAGACACAGCACATACAGGACTCAAACCCCGGACTGTTCAGGTGAATCCGGGACAGGTGGCAACTCTAGTCCACGTGCATGCCAAGTGTGATTGCTTCCTAAAAGATGAATGCCTGATGAAGGCAGCAAGCAAGCCATAAGCATATGCTTATGGTTAATCCACAAGGTGGCAGCAATGCTCCACCAAAATGAAAATTCCTTAAAGTGAACCTTCCCATGGAATTGCAGGCGGTATTATATATTAAAATAACGACACGTACAACAAAATATTTGGAAATAAATGGCCGCGGCACTTTTATTGGTTTATTAATTTTTTTCTCTTAAATTGTATTTTATCAAAACCATTAACATCTTAACCATTAAACCAACCGTAGATTGCTCAGCCATAAGACTCAAGCAATAACTCAAAAAATTATAAACCAAACTTAAAGTCCCCCCCTATTAAGAGGTGACACTACCACATAAAAGCCCGCGACGTGATATTAAGTTAGTTAAAGGACAGTATACAATCGGTTACCCATTGAACATGTTTTAGGTCTTTAAACAGTGTAAACTCAGAGACAGAGAAATAGCAGCTGGAAAGACCAAAGGGACAAGATGGATGACTCATACTTGGCTTTTTCCCACACTAGACCCAAGTGAAGTTTGAATAATGCGCACATATAACCGTCACCAGTAGAAGCGCTAGTATAGATGCAATCACTGGACAGTAGGCCAAGTTACACATCCCCTTATTACATGTTGATCTAATAATCTCTTCTTAGCAACCGGACTGATGTATTCGTATAAATAGATCAATTTTTAACCTCGCCTGGCATTTCTCCAGGTACGTATGTAGGAAATGTAGAAAGTGTCTCAGATGCTGAAAATAAAACCAGAACATTGGGGGGATAAATTCATATTTCACCACCGGATATCATCCAGAGAGAAACATTCCATGTGACCATCAATGTAAACTTTAGTATAATACAGAAATGACTATAAGCTAGGTACAAGTAGGTACAGGAATTGTGTCTTATAATAGGTCTTTCTTTAGAGCCCCAATCCATCCTCTGTATATACAGACACCGGTCAGAGCATCACAGGTTGCCAAGAGCTAGATGGGGAGATGTGTAAGGGCCACACATCTCCCCGCCTGGCCCTTAGAAACCAGAGCACACAGAAATATGTGTATGAGGGCAGGATTCTGACCAGAGCGTCCCAGGTTGCTAAAAGCCAGGTGGGGACATGTGTATGGCCCTTACACATCTCCCCACCTAGCTCTTAGCAACCTGGGCTGCTCTGGCCGGCGTCCTGCCCAGCTCCTGGCAACCAGTGATGTCACTGGTTGCCAGGAGCTGGACGGGACGCCAGGGGTGCAATTAGATGTCGATACGCCTCTAGGTCTAAGACCTCACTCTTCTCTTCTGTATATAACCAGTATAGCCTGGTCCAAGAAACAATCCCAGCCCAAAAGTGGGCAATGAAGGAGCAGCAGAACATTGATGTTCTCCACCAATTCTCTAAGCATGTTGAGAAAGCACTTTGCAGAGTTGGTTTATTAAACGATGAAAATGACAGAAAGGGCAAAAAAAAAATCAGAATTTAAATCTTACTGCAATCACTGCTTACAATCTACGGATTTTAGGGTAACTACCCATAGCTGCAATAAGTCTAAGATCTAAATTCTGATTTTTTTTCTTCCATTGCTTCATTCTCATTGTTTCTAAGCCCTGAAGGAAGTTGTGTTCGCCCCCGAAACACATTGGCTGTTTGATCAACACAGTTATTAAACTTTTGTTATGGAGTCTAACATCACTTGTGTTCTGACGCTCTTCAGTATTCTGTCCCACAGTCATTGTTCATGTATTCACCAGCCGCAGGTCTCTGAGAACAACAGCCGGCAGAGGAGATTCCTTCATCCACAATGTTAGCGTGGATGGGGAATTGATTGATTTTTCTTATTCAGCATGTGGAGCTGAATGAGAGAAATCTAAAGGTACATGGCCAGCTTGTATATGGAGCAGAACCCTTTTTGGATTGTAAACTCTCGCGGGCAGGGCCCTCCATACCATCTTGAATAGAGGGATATCACCAGCACACCAATCAAAGGGTTTCAGCAAAAGTCCATTTTAATGACAAATGCCATTCAAAATACAAGCGCTTTCGGGGCCTCAAGGGGTCCCCTTCATCAGGCTCAGAATGACCTGATTCTGAGCCTGATGAAGGGGACCCCTTGAGGCCCCCCAAAAGTGCTTGTATTTTGAATGGCATTTGTCATTAAAATTGACTTTTGCTGAAACCCCTTGATTGGTGTGCTGGTGAGATCCCTCTATCCATATGCTGTTCACTGTGCCACCCGTGGTCACTACGAGCACCCGCCTGTATATACGGGACATTTATTGATCCGGTAAGGAGTGCAGCAGGATAATCTCTTCATTTGTACTCTGTACTCTGTACTTTGTGTTGATCAGTATTCTAACTATAATGTCTTTCTTATATTGTATAGCGCTGCTCAAACTGTGGGCGCTATATAAATCCTGTATAATAATAATAATAATCTATTTCTACATATGCTGCTATTGTGTGTAGAATGTAAAGCAATTTTACAACTCACACTTACAACCTTTTTTATGATATTTCACCTCTGAAGACAGCCTGCACCAAACTGTGTTCAAATTAGAGATTAGTGCTCCGCTGGAAGCTTGACATTTACATTGTACCACCAGTGAAATAACTTCCAACAGGGAACATTAAAATGATCCCATCCAAGTTAAGCTCACCAGACAGAACAGAGCAGCACAGAGACAAATACATTGTCATGTGAAGAAGGAAAGTCCTTCGCGATTGAAAGCAAGACTAATAATTAAAAGATATTCACATTGTGGATTGTGTTATAGAGCGTCTACGTCTACAGTAGGAATGGCAAGGCCCTCTTACCCTCCAGCAGTCCGTTGTGCTGCACGCAATGAAAAACAGAAACGACACGATCCCTAAGACAAGACTCATGACCTCCACCAATGTGCTGCCCATCCTACGTCGGCCACGTCAGCCTCAGCAAAACCTTTTTGGAAATGACATGGAAGAGCCGGAGAGCGGAGCTCGGTGGCAGGGACCGCATGCTGTGACTGGCTGCGATCATTAGAACTTCACAGAAAACATTTTTTAAATTGAGTCTCAGACATGCTGAGTTTTCCTGCGCTGTGATAGCGGAGTACGTTGGAAAATCAGAGCAATCGCTGAGCGGACATTCATTCTTACCGATGGTATATATTTAATGACTTCAATTAAAAAAATATATAAATTGACCATGAGTCATAGGGATTTTTCAAGTGCTACAATGACAACATTTAAAATAAATGAATATAAAATAAAAATTGTATATATGCTAAAATATAAGACCTACCCGAAAATAAGACCTAGTTGTGACCATTCCCAGGGCCGGTGGTGGCATAAAGAGGAACTTGAATCACCGCGGGAGAGGCAGGAGAGAGTCAGCAGTGGCAACTAAGCCAGCGATAGAGGAAGCGAGGCGACAGCGGAGGGAGCAAAGCCGCATAAGCCGATGCTTCCTCTATAGCGATATAGATTGGTTACCAAATTGCTCCAGCAAAGGTTCGGCACCCCTGATTGCCCTGATCACCATATTTTTGTACATGAATGCATGTAGGCAGTATCTTATTTTCGGGGAAACACGGTATATATATATATATCTATATCTATATATGCATAGTGATTTTTCTGAACCAGAGCTATTGGAGGGACATTTAAGGAAGAAAGAGGGACAGAGGGATTTGGTTCAAAACGAGGGACCATTGGAATGTATGTGGCCTATTGAGGAACCAAGCCCTGGGTAACCTATTGAGACACTTGAGTGTCCTACAATGGAAACACAAATGAGTTTCCATATTATAGTTGGAAAGCTATGGGCCTAACCATTACTAACCCATATACTAAACAGTGTATATAAACCCACACACATGCATAGTACTAGAACAATAATGTTTTGTTCTACCACCACAACAATCCTGGATAATAATGTAATTGTTAACATTCCTATGAACGTCAACAAAGACAGGGGAGGACCCAACCAAGCTCAGTATTTATTGGCACAATATGGATACATATTATCTACATGTGTATGAATTAATAATGTTCAGAAAATAATACAATCCTCACTTCATGTACACGAGTGATCAGATGGGGACTACACACTGCAAAAAACTTGATTTAAAGGTTTACTACAATCAATGAAACAATTTTATTCATAAAGCTTGCTTTAACCCTTTCATAGCCAAAGTTCATTGAAATTGAGATGCCAAGACCAAATTCAGGATGTGTCAGCTAGTATCATATCTTTATGATTTAACTAAGAACGTTTTTACAATTTACACATTGACACATTGTTTTGACAAACACCTTGCTCAGGTTTTGCATTATAAGCTGAAAATGGACAAAATGTTTTTTTCCTTATTTAACACATTTTAATCAACATTTTTAAATGTTTGAGACCCCGTTCACACTGAGCGATTTATCCCGTGATTTCAGCTCCTAAATCACTCAAATATCAGCTCAAAGTCGCTCAATGTAGCTCGTTTAATGGTGTAGCTCACTTTAATGGTGTAGCTCAATGTCGCGTGACATTGCGCTACGTTGTCGCACTGCGTCGCGCTACAGAAGTGTCACTTTTGCACAGAAATATAAGAAGGAAGGAATGATGTCACATTAAGACCGCTTTTGATTGGTTACAGCCCAATGTAGCAGCTACGAAGTCCCTGCGAAAAGTCGCGCTACGTAGTGTGACACAATGTGCACCGTACCTCAATGTAGCTCAATGTCGCTCAGCTGTGAATGTTGTCTTATTTTTTTATCCACTTTATTGCACAGCGGCAGCTGAGCTGCAAGATTTGTAAACAAACCCATGTAATAACCACAAATGAATGAATAATATTGTGTTTTACCCTTTTGTTTTCTGCTCCCATTAGAGGTATATACTGTGTTTGGTTAGGCTCCCTTCACACATAGCGTTTGCGTTTCCTGCGTAGTTTTCCGTGCAGTAGACCATGCGGCACGCAAACGCTAAAATCTTTCATCTGCATGGATTCCGCTCGTTTGCGGCTATTACTATAGCCGTGAACGTGCGGAATCCGTCAAAAGAATTGCGCTTGGACTATTTTGCAGCCGCAAAAGGCGGGGGGAAGAGCATGGCGGGGACCCACTAGAAAACGAGGAATGAAGAACTTTTAAAGAAAAAAAGCAACATCCTCCTGCAAAGGAGAAATGTAAAAAAAAATTGGCTTTAATATCACTTTAAGGGTCACGGAAGGACATATACTAACCTCCTCCCGTGACCTAAAGCTCAATATATAGCGAGTTTTTCACAAAAAATGAAAATGTGAACTAACTCACAACGCTCTCCTCACTCCCCCAGATCCATGCTGTACTTAGCTACTTAGATGGCAACCTCCCACTACTTCATCATTGAGGTAGCTGGCCACACACTTCACTACACAGCCCCGAAGGCTGTGTACCACTATAACCCTGGCAATAGCAAGCAGTCATTGGTCAGCATAAATATGTGACCGTGCTTACCAATGAAAATCTCTGCTGATGCAGCAGGGACCCAGGAGAGTAAGTAGTGTGTTGTGAGTTAGTTCACCTTTTAATTTTTTGTGAAAATGTGAACTAACTAGTGATGGGTGAACTCTGGTTTCATTGGTGGGTGCATTCGGCGAATGTGCCAAAAAGTTTGCCAGGGATTCAAAGACCTGGAAAAAGCACGCAGCCAGCAAAGCCTAAAATCTGAAATCACTTCCTACATGCTTATTCCAAGTCAATGACTGTGGCCATGAAAGAAGGGCAGGATCAGGATGGCAGCCCTGGAGCCTGCACCCATCAGTCAGTAGCAGCTCCCATATAAGTATACTTGGAGGTTCCCTTTAACAAGCTACGAGAGGTGCTTATATAGAGGTTTGTGTACCCAGTATTCATATCCATCACTTTGTAAGACCTTGTATTGGTTTTCTATGATCTGCTGTATATACTGTAGTCTGAAATTGTACTGCACTCCATTATGATTTTGTCCTACAATGACAGAGGATGTTTTTTCTATAAGTTCCAGATATGGATCCAATACCCTGGGTGTGCAGGTCATTGACAGAAACCAGCAGACCCATTATAGGGACAGCTATTGTTTTCCTTCAAGTCACAATGTATTTACATTTCAGTTTACTTCTGTTGCATGGAGAAACAATGCCACCTTGAGGTTCCCTTGGGAGACACAGACCTGACCCCTCGTGATACGATGCAATGTGATTCTATAGTCTACATCTGTGTATCAGCATTACCTGTAGCAGTTTTTTGGGGAATACAATGTTGTCACCATGCTAATTTCTTATTTTTACCTTTAAACCTTTAAAGTAATGGCTACCAAATTTGTGCCCATGTACATGTGAAAGAGCTAAAAATATTGTACCTGTAGGCATTACCATCTAGGTTTCTTCACAACGCAGAGGACGGGGACAGGGGGAGGGAGGGGTTGTAAATCAGAGACTACTCCTGCTGAATATCCAACTCATGATACTTATATTCAAATCATCTATTGTGATTAATGGTAGGAGTGAAAAATAACATAGGGGTGTGACTTTGGGCAAAGGAAACAGCTCCATTCTAGGCTTTTCCCGAAAAGTCATGATTTGCATATTAGTAGCATTGACATTTCCAATGGATCCACCGAGTGTATTTTAGAATTAAAGGGGACAGGACCTCGTAAAATGTGAATTTGCTATTATTACATAGAAAAAAAAATTGAGAAATTTAAATTTTGCCCAATTAATACCCTGATCAGCTTAATTCCATCTATGGAACTGTGCTACCCGAAACCCTTCTGCTGTTCCTTAAATATCACCCCACCAGCCAATAGCTGGCAGCTCTGACATGAGGAAACAAAGCCCTGCCTCTGCCAAGCGGGTCTCCTTTGGGTTTGTGCAGACAGAATTAGCATCACTGTGGCATCCTCATCATTTCGTAATCATAAATAATTCTGAATGACATTGTGTGTTTGATGTTTACACAGTACATGCAAATGTCATACAGAGAGTCTAATGTATTTGTTGGAACCTGGGGATTAAATGGGGGAGGGTATTTTTTTCTGATTTAAAAAAAATAAGATCAGACACAGCACCTCTCCTCCATCAGCTGCAGCACCAAAACCATCAGTCATTCATAGTGCCTCTCTCCATTTACAGTGCCCCCTATTTGTCACAGTGTCCCCCACCTAGCCATCAGTCACCATGTGTCAAAGCTCACTCTTGTAGCAGCTATCCCCTCCCACCATCAATCACAGCAGCCCCCTCTGCCAATCAGCTGCTCTCATATAGTGTATGTGACAGCGCTCCCCCCAATTATTCCCTCCCAGCCCCCTTACATCAGTTGCACATCCCAATGTACACCTCCATTGTATCCCCCCAGCCACCACAGTGCCCCACTTCCCTTACTTACATGGTCCACCAGTCCACCTGAGGCCGCTACACCGCTCCCCTACATCAGTAGCTTACTCTACTGATAAGAAAGAAGGTGGAGTTGGTAGGAGTCAGCTGCAGGCCTGTTCGCTAAAGCAGTCCTCCCCCCCTGATTGGCTAAAGCAACAAATGTTAAAGGGACCCTGGGCATCATCGCTGTACCATGCTCCCATGCAGCCAGCAATGAGATGCAGCCAACATATTAGGAACTTTTTTCTCTGGTGCCTAAAGGGTCACTGGTGGCACACAGAATGCTGGGGAGCCTTGTGTTGGGCACTAGGACTATAGGCAACACTGGGGACAGGTCCTTTGTTCTCTGCTTGCCTTTTTTCAGGCACAGCTTTCACAGTTCAGTTCCTCAGTGAATGTGAAACCCCAGGCTCCAGGACTGTAACCAACATCCTTACTAGTAAATGGCTTAATGCATTGTTTTTGTTGCTTTGCAAAGTAAAAGATCTTGATGGAAGTTACTGATTCAGCTTACATCCATTTAAAGAACCTTATGGAATGTAC